CATTATTGCATGATTAATTCCAAAACCTTTCCTAACCTGGTTTTTGACCTATAATGTATCATATGGTGCCCCTCACCTGTAGGCCAGTTCAAATTAAACACAGATGGGGTTGTTTCTAGATCTCTGATTCTGCTTATGGAGGCCCATCTGGGATGATCAAGGAAAGCTAGTTACTGATTTTTATAGCGAAATCATTCCCTGTTCTCCTCTTATTGTCAAATTATGGAGCATTCTTTTAGGTGTCCATTTGATGGTCAATCGTCATATTAATTCTATTTGGATTGAGAGAGATTCCAAGGAAGTTGTTGAGCTCATCCTTAATGCACCTCAACCTTCCCATCCCTTTCGGCATCTTATTGGTAGGATTAGGGATAGGCTACAATATATTCATATGATTTGGATTATGCATTGTTCGGAGGGCAAGTGTACCCATCGAGAAGTAATAAAGAGTTCTTAAATTAAGTTTTTGAAATATCGTCCCACAAGGATTGTTTTTCAATTACTAAGAATTTCCTAATTCAATTGTTTAAGTTTCAAAGATACGAGATTAAATAAAAACAAGAATTTATAAAATCAATTATAAAACTAAGAGCAAGGAATACAATGCACGTCTTGGTTAAACTTATCAGAGAGGAACCTAGGGCGGATGGGTTTTCTCATTCAATCCTTTATGTTATTTTTCTATTTAACTCTAAATTCGATTTTCTTGTGATTACCAATCATTCATACAAATACTATTAATACCCAATGGTCATGCAATATTAATATTCTTTTCTCTAAATTAACATCCCCAATGGTCATGCAAGACATCAATTTAAGAAAGCTTAAGGAACCTATGAACTTGTTAATTTAATAACGATTAGAAGAGAAAGATTGGTTTGGTCCACTTAATTCTTTGTCTCGTTTTACCCTATAGATCTATTAATTAACCGAGGCATGGTCGCCTGACGATATAATTAATTAGGATTAAGAAAGAAGCGCAATAGGATAAAATCTAATCACATAACGGAAATCAAATTAAGATTCAAACATCAAAATCCCAAAAATTCATAAACAATAGTTCCCATAACCCTAGCTATGGACTTAGTTACTCATGTAGAAAGAAAGGAACTAAAACATTCATGAATAAAGCCATAAAGAAAAGAAATAGAAAAACTAGAGTGTGATGAGTTCCCAGTCTTCAAGTATGGTCGCTTAAAGCTCCAAGTCTCGCTAAGCATGTGCCAAGAATCCCGTACAAGAGAGACAAGATGGAAGATGTATCCTAGAGCAAAAGCCAAGATGTAAAAAGGGTTCCCCAATGGTGCCTCAGGTCTTCCCTTTAATAGGATTTAAAAACCCTAAAAACTCTTCATAATTGGGCTTCCCGCAGATGAGCACGGTCGTGCATGGGCTCGAAGCACTCCAGTGCTTTCTTGAATGGGTCTGGGCGTGCTGACTGCTGCAAAGCTCTAATCTTCTATCAATTAGGGCCCAAAATGTGCCCAAAATATAATTGTGGCCTCTTTATATTAAACTGCGTAATTAACAACTAAATTAGTGTAAAACCTAATTCAAATAAATGTCAAATATGAATAAATGAGCTATAAAAGAGGGCCTAATTATAGACTTAACATGCATGTTTGTAAAAAAGGCTAATATGAGTGCTAATATTTTAGCTAAATATGGTCTGGAAGAGTTGTCTCCGTATACTTAATTTACCTCTGCTCCTAATTCCCTCCTCCCCTTTTCAAGCCTTGATGTTGGTGGTGCTTGGCACTCTAGGCTTGTAATCTGATTTTTGTGTTTTGTTTGGGTCTTTGACCTCGTTTAATATAAAAAAAAAAAAAAAACTAACAATCAATATTACAAATACACTTCAAATTAATATTTACAACCAAACTTATCAAAGTATTATAAATTTAAAAATTGGCATTTAGAATAATTACATAATCTTATCAATTTAAAATAGAAGCTTAATAATATATTACAATTCCTCAAAATGCTCTAAACACTAACGTAGTTGTCTTTCCTTACAATCCCACTAAAAATATGATTCTAGATATGGTCAACCTTTAATTTTCTTCAAAATCCATTTTCTAAAAATAGTTAGTAAGGATAAGTATTTTCTACCCCACTAAATCCTTTATTTGATAGAATAATTGAATGATACTGAAAACATTATCTAACATAATTTATTATTTACATTAGTTAATAATAACTCATGTAACATCCTTATTTATTTATATGATTTAAAGAAAGAATTTTGTATGGAAAGAGAAAATTAAATTAAAATTTGTTTGTATTTAGAATGCAAAGTGCAGCAATGTAAAACTTTCATTTAAATTACTCAGACTCATAAAATTTATCACTAATAAAGCAATAGGAATAAGTAAATTTAGGTGAAAAACTAAAATAACATACATGTACACTAGCTTCATTAATATGTATTCACAAAATATAATTCTAAAAATGTATTAGGACTCATTTACAAAATACAAATTATAGTAAATCCTAATGAGCAGTATATCCACACTACAAGACTGAAATGATCCTAGTTGTCATCCCCAAACCATCATTCTATCTCTACTAACTCCTTTGGAGATATGTCCGCGTCTTCACCAATATTGCCCGTATTAGCCATCACTTCGGTACCCAGGATTCATTCTGTAGTAAAATAGCTTGGTCTTCCATGTTGATCATGAACTAGAAAAGTATATACATAATTCCACATATTTGGCGGTCTGACCAAACCTTTGTATATGTACAAACATAGAGTATGGTGGATCCTATCATTGCTAGGGTAACCAAAATGTACATCATATCCTATTGTCATTTCTAGGCTAAATACAATATTAGAACCATCATTACTATTTATAATAAAGCTACAATGGCATAACCGTTGCTACTCTCTACATACATAGTTTAGTCTACTATTGAGCAACTTTGATAACCTAACGAGTCTCTAAAGATCTGTTATCTTTATTTCTTAAAATTTTTTGTAAGGAAGAGCCTATTTTCTCATTACTAGACATGATTCACAATAAGATCAAGCAATATAAACATGAAAAACACATCAATCAATTATAATTATAATTTCATTTTTATGTACATACAACAATCATTAATATTATGAATTCATTCTATTTTCCTTTCTACTATTCTTAAATTTCTCATTCCAAACTTTCATTACCCTGAAATCTTTTGAGGTCTTCCTTAGTATAAATAGTTACTGAATAGTCACAACAACATAGATACAATGTGTGTCGACCCGGCCCCTTTTAGCAAAAACATGGTTATGAGTTTAGGTTAGGAAATAAGTGTGAGACATATGGTACTCTTACTCTCATTAGTTACGCGTAATTTAAGAAAATTATCCACCACCCTCGTGAGGTAATAATAATGATGATAAATATATCTATTTCAAAGGTAGTGAGAATTATAAAATTTTCTTAAAAGAAATTAAAATTGTTGTATGTAGTTCAAAAATTTAAGTAAAATAATTTTGAAATTAAGTTAAATACAAATTCAATTTCACTTTAGCCTAACAAATTTGCTTTAAAATTTTATTTAAAAATAAAAAAATTAAAATTTCATATCAACCTTAAATAAACTCAGAGCTTTTGGTTTAAACTTTCCTTTAGTGTATGTATGGTTTTTTGACCTAAACTCTCTTTTAATATGTTATTTTAGTAATGATAATATTAGAGATAACAATAATACAAGTAATAGACACAATAAAAATAATAAAAAATTAATTTTATAATATTAATAAAAGATGAGTTTAAAAATATTAATTTTAAATATATTATAATTTTATAAAATTTTATTTTAATTTATTTTTTTTATGATGTATACATTTTTTAAATTTAACATTTTAATCTTAAAAATTATCATTATTACAATTTTAAGGGATAATTCCAAATACAAATTTTATGTCATCCATGTTCTTATTTATTTATTTAGATCGAAGAATTTTGTTACTATATATTTATTCAGGTAGAAGTTGAAGTTAATATTAATTAATACTTTTAGTCTATTTAAAATATAAACAAATTAATTATAATTTTTTAAATTGAGTTTAAATAACAAATAATAATAAATTTTAATGTATCTTCAATAGAATAAATAGTTTCTTTTAAATACTTAAATTTTATTTTCAAGTTAAGATTAAACTCGACAAAAATAGGTTTGCCCAGTTAAGCTTCAAACATACCAGTTAAAATGTAAGGCTTGATCTTTAAATTGAGTCAAAATTTAATAAGAGACATTTTAGCTTGATTCAATTAAATTTGATATAGAATAAACTTGCAAAACTTTACAAAAAAAAAAAAAAAAGTTAGACTTTATTCTTCTTTGACACTTTTTTTATCGGTTCAAAACCCACTTAAATGATTAAAAATAAATTTATAAATTAATTCTAATAAAATAATTAAATTTATTAATATATATATATATATATATATATATATATATATTATAATCAAGATTCTTTGACACTAACATATGCTAAATTTAAACACTTATATTATTTAATAATTTTTTTAATAATATAAAATTTATTAATTTAATCATTGATTTAAATGTCCATATTTTATAAATTTTATTTTAAAATAAAATGTACAAATACTTTGTCACTTTACTTGATTTTAATGGACATCATATTTTTAAAATATAAATAAATTAAATTTTGAATAACATATTTATAAATATTTAAATAATATAAATTTTTTATACATTATTATTAAGATGATATGAGATGATTAAATAATTAATGTATTAATATTATATTTTATAAAAGTTATTAAATAGAGTAAATGTTGGGTAATATATAAATATATTTTTATAGTAGATAAATAATGTAATTATAATAGTCAATTCTTGATGTTTTTATTAAAATTTCAAGGCCAAGTGTTGATTTCACAGCCAATTGTGTTCACGAAGTAACGGTTAATATAAGTTGAATCCACATAGAAGAACACTGATGGGAGTTTGGGTAATAAAATATTAGGTGCAATAAATGCAAAAGAAAACAGTGATAAATAAGTGAGGAAGAGGGGAAGGAGACCAAGTGGGTCAGAGGCACACGTTATGCGCAGGCAATTCCATGTGCCCACATGGATAATTGGAGAGAGCGTGGCAATTTAGCGGAGGGAAAGATGATGAAGAAGAAGAAGATCATCAAAACACCTCCACAACCCAAGTAGTTCCACCCCTCTTCTCTCTTTTCAGAATCACACACAAGAAAGATGAAGGAAAGTAGTGATGCGTTTGTGCGAGCAGATCAGATTGATCTAAAAAGCATAGATGAACAGCTAGAGAGGCATCTAAGTAAGGCATTGAAGAAGCACAAAGAGGAAGACGATGATGCTTCTTCTGCTGCTTCTGATGTTCCTCGTCACTCTAGCTCCTTTGCCACTGCTACTAAATTCAAAAGTGTTGCTGCAACTGCCTTCAAGAAGCAAAGGGAAGAGTGGGAAATTGACCCTTCTAACCTCATCATCAAGAGTGTCATAGCTCGTGGCACTTTCGGCACTGTCCACCGTGGCATCTATGATGGACAAGATGTTGCCGGTAACTTCCACTCACACTGACACCCACACCATTCCTTCTCTTTCTCTTTTCCTTTTGAACTTTTGGGGGATCAATTTTCCAATCCTTACCCCAAATTAAAGTGAAAGCTTTTATTATTATTATTATTATTATTATTATTATTATTATTATTTTCAATAATGATGTTGTCCGTTGAGTTCAGTGAATATGCATCATCCCATGTAATTATAAAAAAAAAGAAAGAATATATCTCAGTAAGATAATTATTTCAGTTTAATTATTAGTATTACACTATGTTTTCTTGAAAAGAGTGGACTTTTGCAACGATTTAGTGATGGGTCGTTTTGGATCCATTCCTATGTGTTGTATGTGACTCATACATGGGCTGAGGTGTTTTGCTTCTGAAAATTCTTGTGGTTTTTGGTGAATACTGAAAATGATTATGAGTACATGTACAATGTTATTGTTGGGTTGGTTAAGGGGAAATGGAGAAACTTTTTCAGGCCAAGAATGAAGCATGAAATTTAAACAGTTTCACTCGGTGGTTTAAGTTTTTGTGAGGAATCTGTAATGCTCTTTTGTGTGCATATATAACTTGAGTGAATTAGTGATTTCCTTTTTACAATTTTACTGAGGGATAATCATTTTGTGATGATTTGGTTAATGAGCAGTTAAAATGCTGGATTGGGGTGAAGAAGGGCACCGGACAGAAGCTGAAATAGCTGCCCTCAGATCGGCGTTTACTCAAGAAGTTGCTGTTTGGCATAAACTTGATCATCCTAATGTCACTAAGGTAACTTTCCTTCAGCTTCAACTCTTTCTTGTTGTGAGTTGAGCTTGTGAGTTAGAATGTTGCATATTATCTGCATTTTTTTGGTGGGTGAGGATGGAGTAAAGAGGGAAGTGGGTTTTAGGAGAAGATCTTATAAACTTAGATTATCTCGAGAGTTTCATTTTTAGGAGAAGATTATTCATTCTTCTATAGGAACCTACTCTTGGTTTTATACTTTAGCCGGTCCAGTTTGGCGTAAACTTCTGGAGTAATCCTTATAAGAAAAGAAAAATCAGTATAAAAAATGAATAAAACTTCTCTCATAAGTTAAAAGCAACTTATCTCCTCAAGTCTTAGAGAAGTTAAATGGAGAAGCATAAGTTGATTTTAAATTATGGTTGGTGTTTGATTCATTTTACTACTTAATTTTTTACTTCTAGAAGTACTTATTGAGAAGTTTAGTCAAACTGAGCCTTTGTCTTTCAAGATTATCAATGTGTAGGTCTTTTTCCATAAATGGTCCAGGATTCTAACCTACGTCGCTCTCAGGGATTTTCATTATCTTCCACCTGCCTTCTTGCTTTCCCTTAACTTATGTTCAACAACATTGCTGGAAATTGTGAAATTGGGAATCCATTTTGGTTGTAGAGGAACATTTTATGATACTTTGATATTTTAGTAAATTGTTTTAGGAGCATGACGTGTACAGATTTCCTTATGTAATAGTATTCCTGATCTTTTTATTTGTTGATTAGTAAAAATCCAAGTAGTTTTAGGAAAGAATGCAGTAGTTCTTATTATTTTCAAGTTTATTTGCCATATATGAGCTTGCCATTCTACATTTTTATTTTCCTATTGTTTTTTATGATAATCAAATTTGTTTTGCTAAGTAAGGATACGGAAGTTAGAGTAATTTAAGGATAATGGTTTTGTATGGTGCGATTGTTAAGATATGCAAGTTGGAATAGTTAGTATGTGACTGTGGAGAATCTTTTCAGAAATACCATATTAACAAGGTATGAAGCTCAAGTTCCTTAGTTTTTAGTTGATAAAAAGAAATTCTGAAGATAGCTCTTATGATTATGTCCTATATAGTAAAAGTGGGTACTTCAAACTTCTATGTACTCTGTTGATGTAAGAATAGATCCTGATAACAAAAATATTAAAGATGTGGTTTTGATCTATTGTTGTTCAAAACATTGCAACTTCAAAGCTCTTTAAACCAGAAAGAGATTTCTGGTGCTAGAGGATGGAAATGAATGTTAATAGGTATTTTCCATTTGGTTCTGCATCTGTATTTATATTGACTAAACTTGTAAATAAATTAACAAGCCTAGCAACATTTGTTTTTGAAAATTTACTTTCATAAAAGCTTCTAATTTTCAGGTTTCTATTCATTTAATAATCTTTTCTTTGGAATCTGTATATTACCTTATTTTTCCTCTTAATAAACTTCAGCCTTTTCTTCTAACAGCTAGAAAAGATATTCTGTATCTTCATGCAACAATTGATGTGTCTTGATCTTTGTCCTACTATTTTCTTGGACGAAAGTCCTTGTAAATATTGAAAACAAGGCTAACCAATACCCATAATGCTCCATCCTTACTCTTTTCTTCATGATCTTCTCTTTGCTGTTATATCTTGTGACATTTGCAGTTAATCTGCTTACCAACTTTTTCAAAGAGAATTATACATTTCTTTGTTAGTATTTTTCTTTCCTAGCTTCTCAAACAATTTTCTTTGTTTTTAGTTTATAGGGGCAACAATGGGGTCTTCAGAATTACAGATACAAACTGATAATGGTCTAATTAGCATGCCAAGCAATATCTGCTGTGTAGTTGTAGAGTATCTTGCCGGAGGTACACTGAAATCTTTCCTAATAAAGAATAGGAGGAGGAAGTTAGCTTTCAAGGTTGTCATCCAGCTGACGCTTGATCTTGCAAGAGGGTATTTATATTTTTGTAATTTTTACCTAAAGTAAATGTGGTTTAGCAAGTTAAGATCAAAGGCTGTCTTCTAGTTTGTTTTGATAAATCCTCCAATTAAATTCTCTTGGTTTTGCAGGCTGAGTTATCTTCACTCTCAGAAGGTTGTACATAGAGATGTAAAGACAGAGAACATGCTGTTGGACAAGACACGCACCGTTAAAATTGCTGATTTTGGGGTTGCTCGTGTTGAAGCCTCAAATCCTAATGACATGACTGGGGAGACTGGTACACTTGGTTACATGGCTCCTGAGGTGCGTAGCTGGTACCCTAAAACCTTTACATCAATTATAAATTACTGTACAAGCATGTTGGATATCACAGTGGAAGCATTAGTGTAGAAGCTTGCTGTGTCCAAAACTCATCTGATATGATCAGTAATGGGTGTATCCAATTCCCGTGGGTTATCTGAGTGGGGATGGGTTTCTCCATTCTTAAGTGTCATTCACAACTAGCATTTCATCAATAAGCATTTGTGATGGCCTTAATAATGCAGCAAATAGTGAACCAATTAGAAAAGAAACGGTCATACCCAATGTTTTGATATGATCAAAGAGAAAGCTTGTGTAATTTACTAGTTTCTTATTTGCAAAATGGGTTGTGGTTTACAGGTTTTAAACGGCAACCCGTATAACAGGAAATGTGATGTGTACAGTTTTGGCATCTGTTTATGGGAAATATATTGTTGTGACATGCCATATCCTGACTTAAGTTTCTCAGAGATTACTTCAGCTGTTGTTCGCCAGGTATTGATTTGTCTCTCTAATTTGACAGGCATGTGTTTGTCAGTGTAGATTCTGATCTAAGATGAATCCATGATATTGATTATTACTTTCTGTTGAAATTTTAGAATCTGAGACCAGAAATACCAAGATGTTGCCCAAGTTCTCTAGCAAATGTAATGAAGAAATGCTGGGATGCCAATCCTGATAAACGTCCCGAAATGGACGAGGTAGTTTCGATGCTAGAGGCTATTGACACTTCCAAAGGTGGAGGTATGATCCCTGTTGATCAGCAGCAGGGTTGTCTTTGCTTCCGTAAGTACAGGGGGCCTTGATCCCTTGTCCAACAAACTGTGACTTTTCACTATGCAAAGAATCAATCTGTAAACAGGATTTGGATGCCAAGATGAGAGGAATATACAGTAGAGGGTATAGGAAGGAGGAGCTGTTTTAAGTGTCAATTCTTATGTAAATCCATAGCTCTTATTTTCTTTTCTTCTTTTATGTTTGGATTTTGTCGGTATGAGTACTACTATAGTACTATCAGCTTTGCAATGTTGCCAGACTGGCCTCATAACCTTGTAAGATCTTCATTATACTGTTGTAATCATGATTGATGTGATTAAATTGGATCTATTTGCTAGGTATCCTCTCAACCGTCTGTTTCAGTTATGTTTGCTTGAAAACTTGTAATATTTTACTAAAGAAGCATTGTGGAGTAGTGGTCTACTTACTTGGTATGGATGACCGGTAAAGGAGTGAAATATAATATCATTTCAAAGAAAAAGTAAATAAAAATTTATACAAAATTAGTATTGTAGAAATAAGTTCAGATTATAATGTTCAGAATATTAAGTCAAATAGTTATTGTGTAGTTACTAGGTTCACTTCTATTTCATAAATTCTTTATTATTCATAGCTGAACACATTCATGGTACCATATTATGAAGACTCAGTATAAATATGAAATGGGAAGTTCAATGTTTTTCGCTGCACCATTCATCCAAATTAAGATATTTCCATAAATTCAAATTACTATAAATCGTCTTTAAAAAAATTTCCTCCAATTTTTACTGCACATTTTCTCTATCTTCCAGGGGTACCCTTCTCTCAAGTCCTCCCAGTGTTCCTAATTTTTTTTTCTAGAATGTGCATCATGTCTATTTTGGACACTTGTTCGTTGTTCATTTTTGCAGTGCATCAATAATAGGTTTCATTTCTCTGAGTTAGTGTACACAAAAATGTTTGTGAATGTTATACATCGTTGAATTATTAATATTTTGTATCTTTCATTTACAACTTCTCTGAAAGCTCATATAAGAAAACACCACTCAAATTGAGGCTAAAATATTATATTAGTATCAACTTAACGAATGATAATCTGAATTAATGAGAACACAAAAATTTAAAATTAATTTCAATAATTTAGTGTTAGCTTGACCAATACTAACTAAAAAAGAAAAAAGAGTTACGGTTTGTTTGTTTTCTATTTTTTAAAAAATTTAAAAACAAAAAAAAAAGTGTTTGTTAGTATGAGTTCTTAAAAATTATTTCTAAAAATATTTTATTTTTATTGTTAATATAATACTTAATAAATTTTGCACGAACTTTTTTGTTTTGAAAACTGAACTAACAAAAAAGATTTATTTTCATTTTCTTCTTAAAAATAGTTTATTAAAATTGTTTAAAAGAAAAAAAAGAAAAACAAATGCATAATGATAAAAATATGAAACTTTTAACAGAATTAATGACATTTAGCATCAGGTAGGCTAACATTGATATAAAATTAAAAACGTAGCTTTGGCTTGACAAATGGTAAATGTGTTGCGCAATAAATGTGACCATTAATTTGAGTGGCATATACCATTGGCTCGCTCCGTTGATGCAAACCTAACAATAAAAAAACTTAAATAAATTTGGGTATTTACAAATTTTGTTATCTTAGCCATTGATGATATTTGTGTGTAATATATATGTGTTTGTCTCTTACTTGTTTCTTGTGTCACAAGCGACTCCTCATTTTGAGGTTGAGGTGCTGAAGTTGGAGGGAGCACCTCATTTGGAGGATGAGGAGAGCTCATGGGTGTTAGAACTAGAGGAAGCTCACGTTGCAGAAATAATAAAGGTGGTAGTGAAATCTCAAAGCCAACAAACTCTCGTTAGGATCAGCTTAACCATTGGTCATGGTTACTATAGCACCATCCTCAATTAAAAAACAGTTAGGGGAGTGTCCGTTTAAGAGTATTACAAAAGTTGACACTAACGTTAACAACTCTTTTAGCATTAGCGAGTTATCACTGTTTATCACTCTTTAAATTCATAATATTTGTAAGAAGTTTGGATCGTATGAATTACATACTCTAGTTCGAAGAGGAGTGTAGAAATAGGTTTAAATTACAATATTTAGAATAGTAAGGGTTCATTGTTTTACACATAAAACGAAAGTTAAATGACTTTGTTGCAATTTTCTTTTCTCATAGAAAACAAATCACTTTCTTCAAACTCTGTTACAAATGGATATATAAATAATCCCTTTATTTATACTTATTATACAGTTATTAGGTTCATTTATATTTTCTAATTTTTTTTACCATTTATTCCTCTAGTTATTCATTATATTTTATTAAATATGATAGCTGAAATTTAGTGTTTTCCATAGAATCATTGATCCAAATTAGGATCTTTAAAACAATCCTTCTATATTCACTTATATGATACAATTGCTTGCTATGTTATCTTTGCATAAAAAGCAAAACAGAAACGAACATAAAACACGCGGTTGGTAAGAAAAATGTTTCAAGCACTAACGCAATAAACACACTAACTCAAATATAAGGCTATGATTTAAGAATTAAAGTTGTAGGTAAATAGAAATTGTGAAAGTGACAAGTTATATTCAAAGGGCAAAAACTACGTTGATAAAAGGTGACGTGTGTAAATATGTGTAGTTGGTTGGATCATTTGGCAAACAAGGAACATAAGACACGGAGCATCAACCTATCTTCATTCTACCGTGGACGACGGTTAATTCAGAAAAAAACAGAAGAGGCCATTGACAAAAATAGCCAAGTTTGTGTGTGAAAGAGAGGCACAATGACATGCACCGTACGCTTTGTCTTGATCATCCAACACTGCTAAGTGCCAAGGGAAATGAACAGGAAACAATAGAAGGTGCGAATCACTTTCTCAATTTATCATTGATAAGGAAATTGTGACAAGCATGTCTGCATTCTAGTTGTTCAAATAATGGAATCTTATTTTAACTTCAAATTGTCCGTCAGAATATACAAAATGTATAAAATGTTGATAAAGAAGAAGTAATTATTACATTCAATCAAATAAATATTACGTTCACTAAAATATGAATGGTATAATGTTTTCTTAACTTAACACTCAAAAGATTAGGATATTAAGTTTATAATAGGTTAAATTATACTTTTTCTTATCTAAGTTTAATTAAAATTTTGGTTTAATTTTTTTATTCACTTTAGTCTTTTAATTTTCCGTCTTTCTAATAAAGTTAGTCTCTTTTACTTCTGTAAGTTCTTTTTGTTTTTTTTGTATTAACAAAGTTGGTGTCTTTGATCTATTTCATGTCGTAGGCTCTTTTTATCTTCTCTACACTAATAAATTAATCTTTTTCACATATGTATGTACCTTTTTTATTATTCTCTCTTTTTTTCTTTTTCTCTTTATTAATGATGAACCATCCATTCTTTCTTTCTTTCTTTTTATCTCTATTAACGTGAATTATCTTACTAATTTTTTTTTATTTTTCTCTACTTACTTGTGTTTGGTTCATGCAAATGTGAACTATTTAGTTAACACAATGTATAAACTTAAGATTCAATTTTGATTTGTGATAAAAATAAAGAAATTTTGAATGTCAGACCTGTAAATTAAAATTTAAATGTAATAATAAATTAATTTTAGTTTATAATAGAAAAGTCATAAAGAAGTAAATTTTAAATTTTAAATTTACGGATTACATTCATACTTTAGAGAGAAGTTATATGAACTGCTCTCTAAGTGACATCCACCTTATGAGAGCAGGAACCATTCTCCACTCTTAACATTTAAGAGCGGTTGTTTAATCGCTTTCTTAAATGCAATACATTGGATATTGCAAGATTTTAGAGTAGTTCTAAATGCTCTATAATTTAAAATGAAACCGCTGTCACGTCTCTTTTCTGGCTAAGTGAAGTATACCTAAAAATAAAGGAGTTCCTTCTAGCCATAACTTTCAAACAACTCCAACAAGAATATCCCAATTACAAAATATATTCATTACTTTTGTTTGAAGATTAAAAGAAAGCCAAGAAGATCAGTCAAAACTATAAAATCTACTCCAAATCTAAGGAGATAACAACATATTCCAAATATTCGTGGCAAAATAGTTGTGACACCTTAAATCCTAGACTTGGCATAAATTGAGCATACATGTAAAATCATACAATACCTTATTTATCCTTAAAGGAGAGTTAATGTAACACCTTTGTTTTTGTTACTATTATTATTGCATTTTATATTAATTATTTATGCATGTCGTTTGAAGTCAAGAGAGTTTAAAGTGTGTGAACTGCAGAATATCTCGTTATAGCGAGAGTGATCATGTAAAATTAGGCTCTCTAGAGCTCTCTCGCTGTTGTCCTCCCCGTTTGGCCCTTCCTCTAAGGGGTTGTTACGTAACAAGTGCATAATGTCCACTGGAACATCTATGTATTTTGTCATTAACTTGATGAATTAATTTCAAGATATAAGGCTTTCCCATTAGAATAGGCTTTTTAAAAGAATTCCTTATTCTTCCATCAAATATTTTGCTTTTTTCTAGATACTCGGTTCAAATATCCATGGATTCAATGTCTGTTTACTGGCTTCATAAAATTCAGAAAACACTAGTTTTCTCGAAACCTTTTGTTCATATCTTTCATCAAAAGGTGCTATTCGATAATGTCTATCTAGCATACTTCAAATTATTACAGATACAAAATTATGGAAAAAATTGGATTCAATTGTCAACAGCTCCTATCAAAAATAGGATTGACTACGGATTCAAGCAATAGCACATGATTTCATAAAACCTTTTGGTTTTCCTGATCTAAATAAAGCAGGTTTCCATGAAGAAGATTTGGCTCAGCATGTTCTACTTGATACGGGTAGGGAAAGAAGCCGACTCAGATTTCTTAAAAAAATAAAGAAATCATAACCAAGTCAAGATGATACGGATCAACCCCTCCTCTTGCGTGTTTTCGCCAAAGATCTTACAATTTCTAAAGTAACTGGAGTTACATATATTTTTTCATTTCAATTCAAGAGTTCTTATGTGTTTCCACACCCCTTCGAGACCTGTAGCGAGGGAGTCTCATTGTAGTGAGAAGTGAATAAGAATGATCTAACAACACTCTCGCTATAGCTAGGATTCTCATTGTAATAAGGATTCTCGTTGTAGCCAAAATGACAGACAACAAGAGAAAAATATTGTCTGATTTTTTCGCTATAGCAAGAAAAGGGTTCATTGTAATAAGAATGTCATGAGTTGAGGAATATTTAAGGGTTTTTAACCTAGAAAACTTGGATTACAATCCAAGTTACGAGCTTTTCTCTGTTTTCTCTTATTTCTCACTCTCTTCCCTCAAAAAATCTCC